CTGATTCTGTTCTCCTTAGCTTCCTTGGTAGCAACGTTCGCTTTCTCGACCTTGTCCTCTTACTTGTTGGGCTCCCTTAAGCGAATATGAGCTCTGGAGTAGTTCAACTCTCCAGTTGCTTCGATCATACCTCTGCATGATCAAGTCCCTCCCATGGAACTCACTGGTACTTGCATTCGAACTTTTCCCTTGGTGGAACACAGCCCCCATATGCTAATGACCAAGGTTTTCATCCGATGCAAAATTCGATGCACGCACGGAAGACCCGCCTCTGCGGTACCATGGCCTTCACTCCTTGAATCCATAGCCCTTCTTGTCGTCGTGTTGTTCACCGAAGTGGAGCTTCCAGTAGCTCCTAATCATACCTCCGTATGATCTAGTCCCTCACGGGACTATGTCGTGTGTATCGCATTGCCACGAACTGTTCCACCACGATCCACTGCACCATGTCGCCTCCTGGTGACATCTCCATTGCATTCTGATCCTTGTGGAATAAACTCGAATTGTGAACCCTCTATGTGTGGCCTCTGCCAATACATCTCAGGGTCTCTTCCACCTTCGATTTTGTTCGCTCCTTTGGCAATCGACCTTCATCCACCCACTCTTGGGTCACACCTAGATGAAGCACCGCTCTAGGACAATCCGTCGCCTAGTAGCTCCCGAAGTCCACCGACTTAACTATAATTTGTGCACCATTGTCTAGATCCTAGGCCTCTACCCCTACCAGCACAATCTCCGCTGCGCACCGCTTCCATCATAGCAACTTGAATGGCAACACTGGCATATTCTTCAAGAGTACCCGCATCTGCATCTTCTTGCCTCGTGCTAAGGCCTTCTGAACCCAACTTCGCCTCCGCAAATTGAGTCGCCTTAGTTCCTCCATCAAATGCTCATCCAAGATAAGGTGCATGTGCCCAGAAGCTCCCTTCATCTTTGGCACCATGCAAGATGAGTCCACTCCGTCAAAATAAAGGACCCATGGAACAGCATGATTCTACTCCTGCCTCTGCAAGAGTTCATGTCCTTGACCTCTGTCTAGGGAAAGCACTGTGCCTCTGCTCCATGTTCCAACTTTTATTGTAACATCCCATTAGTCCCACATCGGAAGTGGGCAATTTGTATGATTAGCTTATAAGGGCCTGATGAGTGTACTACGTAAACTCCCGCTTAAGCATTTTGGTCCGCGGTTGAAGGACCAAAATGGAGTTATTGGTCAGTTAGCTCATCAGACCCGGGTCATGACATTTGGTATCAGAGCCGACCTAGCATTTGGGTATGGTGAGGGGACTCGAGTAGGAAAGGGCTACCCGTAGATGGAGTCAGAGAACTCATCACGGCGTGGAGCCACCACTGAGTTAATCCTCACATGCACTATGCTAGGGTTCGATCTGGGATATGTTGGACCTTGACGAGGACGTCAAGCTAATTGAGTTGGGGATAATGTAACATCCCATTAGTCCCACATCGGAAGAGGGCAATTTGTATGATTAGCTTATAAGGGCCTGATGAGTGTACTACGTAAACTCCCGCTTAAACATTTTGGTCCGCAGTTGAAGGACCAAAATGGAGTTATTGGCCAGTTAGCTCATCAAACTCGGGTCGTGACATCTATGCTGGCTCCCTTCATGCGGCTTGGGTACTTCGCCAAGTTACACCCAAGTTGCTCCGCTCCTCGTTTTTGCATTGAGTCGATGGTGGCCCTCGCGCCCACCATTCCACGGGTCAACCCTCCCTTGAGTCCGATCTCCAAATCGACTCCAAGTGTGCCTTCATTTGTGTTGCTTTGGGACGCTCCCCCACTTGATCTCGCAATGCATCCACCAATGCATTCTCTCAAGCGAGATCATGCGATGACTCCTCACCGCTTGCCCGGTCCATTGAGCTTCGTGGAGTTGTTGTTTGTTGAGGTACTCCTCCTCAGCATGTGCGGTCCGTCCCACATGATTCTCCCTCTGGAGAGCCGGGACTTATCCCTCCTGGATAACTGTCCCGTTGGAGCAACATCTCTCTTCGTTTCGGAGACCACCATCCCCTTGGACTACTCCGATCTGCTGAACAAACTGTGCATTGCTCTGCCTCCTGCAAACGCACTTGCTAGATTGTGACTCCACGTCAATACAGCCCCCGCTGCACCACCCAAGGCCTAGCAACATGCTGAACTCGTTGAACACTTCAGCCTCCTACGGACGTATCCTTCACATGCCGAAGAGAAAGTTTCAATGCTCCATGGCGCCGAGTTTCGGTCGCCTTGGGATGGCCGCGAACATTCCATCGTCCGCATACAAGCCCATGCATGAGTACCGAATTCTTTGAGTTAGCAATTCCCCTCACCTCTATGAGCTTTTGCACAACTCTTTCGATCGCTGAGCAACTCATTCCACCTTGCATGGTCTCATCCTTTACCAAGCGCCTCGCTTGCCTTGAGCATCATCAAGTATAGTTGTCAACGTTGAGCCATAGCTCAAACTCAGCCATCCCAACCTTTGTGCGCTCCACATTCTTCCAAGCTTGTCTGTTCTCGTGGTGCCTCTTGCGCGAAGAGTTGGTCATTTCTCTGAATGCCAATCTCATATGCCCGCTCCTCCGAGCGACTCCTTTTCCCTACATCTCCATGCCCGTTTTCCCCCAAACGGTCGCGCGTGTGCTGACTGCCCTCAACGCAGCCCCGCTAGGTCCCCCACGTTTGCATGCTAAGTGTTTCTATGAGTGCTTGTCCTGCTCTGATACCATCTGTCACGAACTTAGCTGGTTTTGCCTAAGTCGTGCGGCACCCTTGCATGTCCGTCCGCAAAGGTCAGCCTCCCCGAAGCCTCCCATGTCCCTTAGGACCCATAAAAGAGAGAACGGGTTAGAGGAAACGCCTCATTCGGGATCCACAAGCAAACATCTCCGAAAAACACTTCATAGACAATGCAAATTACAAACAGACTTTACAAGCTCTGAACCGTTGCACAACAAAGGGTAAAATGGTCCATTATAGACCAAAAATCTCTCGCACGTGTCCACATGACACAACCTTTATTTACAAGCCTAAAGAGGCCACCAACCCAACTAAAATGGGACTATTAAGCCTTCGACCGTCCCCCTACATGCTGTACAAGGCATGAACATACCAAAAGACACGGACATACATAAGCATTACATCAAACATCCTGTTTAGAAGTTTGTCCGTGACAATGCGGTGCCAACTGGCATGCCACCTGTGCCAGCCAACATAGACCAAAACTTGACCTAGCCATGTCTTGGTACAACCAACATGACCATCCTTATATTAAACAAGTTTTCATTTGTCATTGTTTTACAAGAGCAAGAAGATGGTACCTTCTGCCATATGCCAACCCCCAACCTTGATGTAGAAGGATAGAAGCTGGTGTGAAGTGTGTTTATGTTAATAAAGTTACCAAGAACGAACTAAGAATAGTGGAAACAAGTAACAAAAACTCAAAGACAAGCTTATGATGGTTGTCAGAATGTTGCCACAGCAAACCATCCCCATCTATAGTGGGATTTGATCAAGATTTTGAAGACTGAAACAAGACATTGGCAGCCTACAAATAATCTTTTCTTACCCACTTTTGCAACTTGAATATTATGCTAAAATATGTATTGTGAATCACAAAAATAACTTCTCAATGTATTACCACATTTTGGTTTGCAAGATGGAGAGGATGCTACTTGTTATGTGTATTATAAAATATTTGGAATTCATCTTAACAGTTAAGGAAACTAACTTCCATAACCCATTTTAGTCACAATTCCATTGCCATATAGGAAATTGGATTGCGCAAATGCATTACTAAATACAAACAATCGCTTCACAAGTACCACAAATGTTTGATAGATTTCTAGCAGAAACGAACCATTTGATGGATGCATACCTAAAACATTATTTCTAGAAATGTCCAAAACTTGAATATGTGGGATGGAACAGCAACAAATAGCTGCAAAAATCAAATTGTTCCAGAAGATGATCAAGAAAAAGGTAGAGCAGATAACCGATCAACTTAAAACTTCAAGACAATGTTAGTAGAAGGCAAGATAGTTAAGTCAATTATAAAAGAGACCCTGATTACCCAGAAAGAAAATGCAGCTCTTGAAATGCAAAATGTGTCTGGCTTCTACCACGAAAAGCATGTTCTATGAGAAAACATATATTTCAAGTTATCTGTAACTAAGGGATCCATTTGTATGCGCATAACTTGAAGGCATGGATAAGAGATCCACATTTTCCTTTACTGGTGCAGTCCCAATAAAGTGCATGAACAACAGATGCCAAAAAAAAAAAGGAGAGAGAGATAAAAAAAACACCAATATTAGCTTATCTTTCTCCAATTTTTATATAGATGAAACTAATACACATTGTGGCATAACTTGTCAGCAGTTTCATGACACCAAACGAGGGAGCACCGCAATAATAGTTAATCAGCATTGAGAAAAAGTTCTTTTTCTGGTTGGCTATGTAATTGCCTACTTTTCCTCGAGCTACTCAATTCTCAGAAACTACAAGTAATTTTTTAACATTTTTAAACAACAAAATGACACTTCAAGCATAGGTCTGAGAAATTATTTTAATGTCTTCGTCACTGGTTTTCAATAATTACAAAAAGGGGGAGATTATACACTTAAATCAAGATAGCAACATGTATATAAAGCAGTTGCAGCCTTCTATATGCATCTTTATTTAAAGGGAGGTAAAAACTCTTACCTTTTCTCCTTGGCCCTCCAGTACGCCGGCGCCGATTCCCGGTACAAGAACTTGGCCGGAACACCACCTCTGATTCCCTGATCCTCGATCCTCCCGATCCCATCCGCATACTCTCTGTCATTCAACACCACCGGCCTCACCTCCTCCTCCTCTCGACCATCGCCGCTAATCACTGGATTCCACTCCGGAATCGAGGGCCGACGCCTCGGCGACAGGGAAGCGCTTCTTCGAGGAGGAGGCCGGCACGGCGGCAGGGGCATAAGAGGTGCGAGGAGGGCAACGATGGGTGTGGCGACCGGACTAGGTTTCTGGTTTCTTCGTCGCTACAGGTCGCCATCGGATATAGAAGACAAAAGGCGTGATTAGCTAAACACCTCTCTCTCTCCCCCTCGGTGTTTAATGTGGTTTATTATTATATGAACGCAATAGATTAATTAAATGATGAGACATCTTTTGGACCCTAACAACCATTCTTTGCTTAGGAAGCAACGTATTGACTTCGTTAATATTAATGGGGTTGATCTCATCACTCTGAGATGCGTCGATATCCGGTAGACCAAAGGCCAAGATATTTTATATATATATATATATATATATATATATATACATATATATATATATATACATACATATATATATATACATACATACATATATATAGATACATATATATATACATATATATACATACATATATATATATATACATATGTATGTATATATATATATATATATATGTATGTATAT